TAATAATTATATATATATATATATATATATATATATATATATATATATATATATATATATAAAAAACAATAGAAACAGAACGCAATATTAACCGACGTGTTTCGTTCATGTAACAAAAACAAATGAATTTATTAAAACAAAGTAACTAATAACAAAACAAAATGTCCAGTTGCTAAGGACATTTTGTTTTGTTCTTATTAGTTACTTTGTTTTAATAAATTCATTTCGTTTTTGCCTTGAAAAGACCACATTGGACGAAACGCGTCGGATAATATTAAAGTTTTCCTATTGTCTTTTTACATTTATAAATATTGTCTTTTTCACAGGTTAACTCTGAGAAATTTTTCATATATATATATATATATATATATATATATATATATATATATATATGTCTGTGTGTGTGTGTGTGTGTGTGAAATGAGAACGAATAGAATCCAATTTCGACGTTCTTAACATTTAGTTTAAAAGTGGGTTCAATACAAAAGTAGAACAATATTCTTTATTTTAGGATATTACATGAAAAACATGATGAGATGTTTTAATACACATCGAAACATGATTGCATTTGTGTAGCGTTTTTAATATTCTAAAATAAAGTATATATACATTTATATATATGTATCTTTTAATAATTTCACCAAGCAAGACAATAAAGCCACTAAGGGGTTAGTGAGTGTGATAGAGTATGAAAAAAAAAAAGAACAGTAATTGAGAAGCACTTAAAATTTTGAAGTTCAAAGCCGGAGGAGAGTTCCACAAGCAAGAAGTGCGAAAGAAGAAACTGTTAGCATAGAACTTACGCTAACATCTAGCTATTTTAATTGTAGACTGTTGAGACCTTGCTGCCAGTCTAGTAGTACACTTAGATTCATAAAGTCTATGTAGAAAAGCTGAAAGCTTACCAGGAAAATTACAATGAAAATATTTAGAAAAGACACAGGGAAGCTACGTTATGGCGATGGAAGAAGTGACTTAAGTCAAGATACCACGTCAGGACCAATAACATCGCAGATTCATTTTTTGTACTTTGTCAAGAATTAATCTCCCTCCTTCTCTCATGCATTTTAAACAGTGACATTAACACCTACCGGCCTGACAAGGTGAAAGTCTTATTTTAAAAAAATGATCTTATTGAGCAGCATCAAACCTTCATTCCCTTTATCAGGAGAAAAGCATTTTCAAATTAGATGTGCATTTAACCTCTCAGCCACAAGAAGTCTCACAGAAAAGCGACGCTCAATTATAATCCTTGGTGGGACCTTTGGAAGATTATATCCACTATTTTTTCGTACACGAAATATGAAGAATGTATTTTTTTTAACAATTAATGGAATTTTTTTCTAGAGAGTGATGTGCATTTCCAAAGGTTCCAAATCAAATTTTAAAATGGATAATTGAACCATGCATAGCTGTGCGGAATTGCTAAGAAAACATTTACAAATACACACGGAGGCACACACGCAGGCACACACACAAACATACACACACACACAACACACACACACACACACACACACACACATATATATATATATATATATATATATATATATCAATAATAACAACTATGAACATGGACATAATACCTTGACCATGTTTTGAAAATGAAAACATATTTTATAAATACATATATGCAATAAACTATTTCGTATTTAACAGTTAAAATATTTCATCCTTGAAAATGGCTAAATGTATAGCCGAAAGCTCTCGGATAAAAAGAACATTCAGACAGTTTTTATATAATGTATCATCTGAAAAGAAAATATTAGATCACATAAGAAATTGAATAAAAAATTAGATCAAAGAACCTTGCCTGTCGTATTCAATGAAATGTGCATAAAAGAAGGATTGCTGCCTAAACACACACACCCATGCACGCACACACACACACACACACACACACACACACATATATATATATATATATATATATGCAGGAAAAATGAGAACAAATGGGATATAATTCCACTGTACGTAATATTTAATTTAAAAAGACGGCTCAGTACAGAGTAGAGCTAAATATTGAATTAATCTTTTGCTCGCCAGTAGTCTAACATCGTCGGAGGAGACATATTTGTGGTGTTGAAATATGATTGTAATTGTGTAGCGATTTTTTAACGTTTTTTGTTTTAATCTCCTAATATATATATATATATATATATATATATATATATATATATATATATATAATGTTAATTAAAGACGAAGTAAGCTTTAGTTTTATCGAGATCACCAGGTTCTTCTCGTAGAGCTCGTTCATGATCTTGCAAAATTTCTTGTCGCTCTTCTGGAAGATATCTGCCCTCCGACCAACTGCTGGTAGTCAGGCGCCTATCGGCTGTCAATTCAAGTCCGAATAAATCCTGATCAAACTTCATTCTAGCCGGCTTAGCAGAGCCGGAGCAAATACTATCACCGCCGGTTGGTGTGTGTGTATGTGTGTTGTCGGGGCGGGGGGTGGCGGTAAGTAAAGAAGTGAATGAGTAATTGATTTCCTGATTAGGAATTTGTAAGTAACAAAAATGGTTTCACTGTTGCCATGGCAACAACAGAAGTATTTATCCCGCAGTTGCAAAAATGGCGGTGCAGGATAAAAATAGTAGGAGAAGCAAAAGAAATACTGTAGAGAAAGGTGTGAGAACGCCGGAGTGATAAGATGTCAAGTGGGTGCAGGAGTAGCGATTTCGTTGTCACTTGGCGATTACGCAAAAAATGTATGAGAAAATCATAACGATAAAGATTCCTACACGCACATTACGACGAACACATTAAAACCATATATATATATATATATATATATATATATATATATGTGTGTGTGTGTGTGTGTGTGTGTGTGTGTATGTGTATAAGTAAATATATGGATATAGATCCGATAGTATGAAGAATATACGAAAAAAAAACAAAAAATCCGAATATGCAATTATGCTGTTTTATATATATTTTACATTATATTAACATTAAAACAGCATAATTGCATATTAGGATTTTTGTTTGTTTTTTTTCCTATATTTTTTTATTCATATATATATATATATATATATATATATATATATATATATATATATATATATATATATATACATGTATTATGAAATGCGCAATCTGGAGCTTTACTTATGACGATAGGGTATCCAGTGCTGATCTTCTTGCAAAATCCAACATTGGTGGAATTGAAACTTTCCTGATGCACTCACAACTGCGCCGGGCTTGTCATATTACAAGGATGAGTGACGAGAGAATAGCTAAGGTCCTCATGTATAGCCAGCTTGAAGGTGGACAAACTTCTGTTGGACAGACGTTGTTCAGGTATATAGACAAGCTAAATAGTAACCTCTCGGTTGTCAATGTACCTCATACTAACTTCGAGAGGGCTACCATGGATATAAATCACTGGAAATATTTTTGCCAGATTGGTATAAAAAAATTTCGAATTCAGTCCTATTGTCAGCTAAGAGACGAAAGACAAACGCCCAAAATCGTCAGCAAAATATTCCTGTGGCTATGTTTCGAGATCCCCGCAGTTGGAGAATATGCGAACTTGTATGCAGGTCACTAGCGAAAATGAAGCGTCACATACAACACAAACAAAAACTGAATGAAGTTACCGCATTGTCACACATCGAAATCTACAGTAGAGTCCATTATATATATATATATATATATATATATATACACACACACATATATATATATATATATATATATATATATATATATATGTGTGTGTGTGTGTGAATAATTTACAAAGCAGAAGTAATATATACAAATGGCCAGAAAAATACACATAGTGTACCTTTAAGAAGAGGTGGTACAATAACAAGTCATCATAGTCTTAGGAATTCTACTAGACTAGCCAACCATGTGTGAAAATTAAAGGAAAAAAAATGAAAAAAAAAAGATCGAATGGTAATCTGGAAAATTATACAAAAAACAAAACTTTACAACAATCATGGTAATATATGGAACCTTTGTCAACAAGAAAAGTTAGCCATAATAACATTTCCAGACGAAAAAACCTCTTGAATAAAACATCGGAAATTAGAAACCGTTGTACACATAGTAAAAAAAAAATATCCTTGTTCATATGAAGTGGGATGAAAAAGTCTGTATATTTCATTTAAACCCCAGCACCGATAGATTTTCAATAGCTTTGATTTTCTCCTCCTCTTCCTTCTCCTCCTGAACCTCCACCACACCACGTCGTGTGCTTATTTACTTATTTTATTTATGTTTTAAAGAATAGAAGGTTCATAATTTTGTTATTTGACCGAAATCGTCTGAAGATACCAAAAGGCTGAAAACTAAGTTGAAAACTAAAGTAGCTGAATCAGCTAATCTCCTCATTTTTTATACTTAAAAAAATACTTTATTTTTTTAAGCTCTACATGTTAAATTTTTATCTTTTTATATATTGAGTACTTTTTAATACTACCGTTTCCTGGTCTAATTCAACTCTGACCATAAATTTTATTATTACTATTATATATATATATATATATATATATATATATATATATATATATATATATATGCGCGTTACCTACTTTATTTGGATCATCGGCGCACTATCGTCTTCATAGACCATTTATCTACTTCATTTTTAGTTGCTCTAAATTAATCTTACTAAATATCTTTCCTTCTTTATACACATATTTAAATGTCCAATATTAAACATCGTCTTGACGGTTTTATCATAGTATTCGATTGTACTGGGTTGTATAATCCTAGTCTCAAATTTTATGTGTGTGTGTACTATCTTTGCAAACAGTCAAAATGTGTAGCAATTTCTCTCTGCCATGAACAAGCGTTATGTATTCATGATGATGATGATGATGATAGCAATCATCCTCATCATGAATGCAATCACTGTCGACTTCAAGTGCAGCAGTAAATCAATCAGCATCAGCAACAGAAACATTTTTTTTTTGCCAAGATCAACAAAAAAATAGCTTCCGCTTCTGAAATCTCCAAAAGTTTTCCGACATTTCAAATAGAGTGACCTTTGCTCTTTTGACACACTTTCAACCAACCCTTACCACACCGGATTTTTTCACCTCTCTTCCTCTTTCATTCAATCCCTATTGTCTTCTTTCTTTCTTTCTTTCTTTCTTTCTTTCTTTCTTTCTGTTTTCTTTTTCGTTTCGTGTGGATTTCATTTCTTCATCCATCTTTCTTTTTCTTTCCACTTATGTCTTTTACCTTTCAATATATTTCTTTCTAATTTTCATTATAATTTTTACCTTGTTTCTCTTATCATATTTTCTTGATTTGCCGCCTACGTTTTCTTTAAATATTTCATTTTTCGTGAAACATTTTGTCTGTCTTTTGACTTCCCACCAACCAATTCTTTCTTATGCTTTATTTTCTTTTTTGTCTTTTTGTATTCTTCTGTTCTCATAATTATAATTTTCTTCTTTTCATCTTTCCTTTCCTTCTCTATGTCATTCTTTATTTTCATTTTTTTAAAATTCTTCTATTTTTCTTTCTTTTTTCCTTTTCTTTCTTTCTATTCTATTTTTACGTTTTCTATGTACAGAAGGTCCTCGGGTTACGTCGGCATTTACTCGACATTTCGTGGTTACGGTGTCATCTCCCATAACATAATACGTCGTCACCCGGCGCTATATGAGAAAGACTGCGTTGTTTCGTCACCGGCTGTACGCCATATTGGATTGTGCTATATTCGCTATCTCTCGTTTGTATCGTTTTTTTTTTTGCCCTTCATTATAGCTCTCAAGCGTAAGGCAGAACTCGTGGTTGCTTATGTACATGAGTTCCGACATCGATATTCAGGTTACGTCGCTCCGTAGGAAAGGATTTCCAACATAAGTCAAGGATCCCATGTATAATATTCATTCACGTTTCAATAGCCTATTGGTTTGTGTATATGGTGCCATAGAAATAGTGAGTTCAATCCTTAGGTTGTATTACTTTCAGTAGAAACAGCGATAACTGAATAACGGTAAATAATAACAGGACGAGATGTCTGTAGAAATGGTCAGCGGAACGGGAAGAATCTATCCTTGTTGATTAAATAAAGTATTCAGGTCAAAATATTCTGTAGGTAGCCTTGAATCGATTGACACCTGAAAAACCGGAGGAGACAGCATCCGAAATACTGTGTAATTAATCTGTATTAATAAATAATCCTACAAGACAGTATAAATGAATTTGAACTCTATCAAAACCGGAAAGTGAATATTGGCCAGCTCCTTCTCAGAGATAGCAGCGATAAACTATTTTTTCGCCTGATTTGACTCTTGTAAATGTAAAGCAGAACAGGAGTCAGATAGTTTCTTTAGTCAAATTAATTTCGCTTCTTTACAATCTCCCATTTTTCCTGTTCTGCCATTCATTCACACAAACTCATAAGATTAATCATTGTTTCTCTGCCTTCAGTACATCCAGTGAGTTTTAAATTCTCGAAGCCCTCTATCCTCATTATATCTCCCAGAATACACACATACAGGATGAGATGGGTAAATTGTCGCCATTTTATATTTTTAGTTTCGCGCATGCGCATACTTTGTTTTTGATTTTGTTGACTGCAGAGCATAATAGGTTTAGTTTGTGCACCATTTCTAAGAAAAAACGCACCATGGCGCAATTCGCTCTGCCAAAAATTTAGAAACGGCAGTGATCCGAATCGCTCAGAGAACATGCTACCTCATCGATTAAAAATCGCCGGTTTACCATTAAAACTCTCGTGTTTGTTAAATCTTTGTACCCTGCTCCTACTTCGTGCATCGGCTAAGTCCGGACACATTTAAACTTCTCGACACACTCATGCACGCATCTTGACGGTAGGACACTGTCGCCGTATTGTGTTAAAAGCCTCCGATGAATTTCAGCCTCTGAAACAATTTTCAACCAGAAGAATCGGATCATCGCTATTTGTTCCTTCTTGGTGCGCACACTGCTAGAGGAACGGCCATGTTTACATTGTAACAACAGCAAGAAAACTGGCGCGAACGTTCAAACATTGATCAAATGACCGCAATAGTACCAACTATAAGCACGCATGAGCAAAAGGCAGGCAATTTTTGACTTACCCTCGTAAATGCAAAATCAAGCCAAGAGAAAAAATATATGTCTCACCACTCTGTACTTTTAAAATATATAAGTTACTGATAAATACGCTGTTAAAATGTTGTCTTTTGAAATTACATTATTTAATGTGATCTGCCTTTGATAGTCTATCTAAAGCAATCTTGAAGGTGTTGTATATAGAATAGAATAGGGCCCCAAAAGTCGCTTTTCTCTCTATTTAATCATATATGATGTCCTAGTGAAAAGACGTGTCCCATTTCCCATACAGGATTCTTTTCAGGTCCAAACGGATCATGTGTCGCCTCGCGTACAACACAATCTCCTGTTCGAAAAATGTCCTGAGACCACACCCTATCACATAAATGTATATCTCCCTCCAATACTCTTTAACGTCGTTACAAACTGATGACCCTCGTATCAAGCTCTTGACGTTATGCTGTTGCAAACTGGTGACCCCGGCGGGATTTGAACACCGCAGCCACTGAAACAATTTCATTGGCTCGATATTTATGTAGCTTCACTTAATACTGGCCAAAACCAATGTGACTTTGCAATGGTCCAAATTTGATAAAGAATAAAGAGCCCAAACCTTGCCGTCTTTCATTTCGGACATGAACGAGATTTGATGCGACGTAACGCCTAGAATCATCGCTGGCACTTGAAGGTATATAAGACGTTACTAGGAAACAGAAGACAGGAATTTTGTTGGCACTTCAAAAAAATATGGGACCCAAATACTACAGAACTGAAACGGAGAAAAGCTGAAGCTGATGGCATTTTATGATAGCTGGAAAAACAGAACAACGAACCTGCCTTTGTTTTAGACAGGAAGATTTTTTCTGGATAGGATTTCAAAGATATTTTTCTTCATCGTCCCAATTCCAAGCTTATCCTAGACACGAAAAGAGAACAGCGATTAGACTTTTTATATAAAAATTATTTTTATTATTTGTAAAAATGTTAAAATTCTATGTTTGATCGTTCTTGTTTTTTTTTTATTACACGTTTTTGAGAAAAGTATGTACGTCTGAAGGCCAGACAGTTTGAGATTAATATTCTTGCAGTTTTTATGACCTTTTAGGTTCAAGCAGTTGATACCGCCCAAATTGTTTGATCTGTTGCGAGTTCATTTTTTTAGTACTTGGAGAAGGGTTTTATATATATTGGCCAATGAGAAACGAGTTTTTAGGGCTCTTGTGAAATTCTGGTCGGAGCCGGTTTGATATGGTTTCTTCTGTATAAATGACTGCTATCAGCGATCTAAAGCAGATCAGACAGCAGATATCCGACGCAAATTAGAAGGGCAGAGAGAGAGAGAGAGAGAGAGAGAGAGAGAGAGAGAGAGAGAGAGAGAGAGAGAAAAGAACGAGAAAAGAACAAAGAAACAAGGCAGGTCGTCAACATCAAAGAAGGCACCAGTTACCAGCCGGAGAGAGCAAAAGTTCAAATGAAAATTCTTCTGTACATTATTTACATTATTCGGACTATTGTCCTCATCTTTTTCGCCATATTATATCACAACGTTTCAGCCACTGTACGCTTCGGCCTTCTTCAGGTGGTTGGAATGTCGAACTGAACCCTTTATTTCGCTCACTGGGGTAGACTGTTCTAGTTCTACGTGCCATGTTTGATGGATGTCAGTTATAAGTTATCTCCTGTTAATTTCCCTCTGAAAGTTCTCCCCAGCCTTAACCGGGTATTGAAGTCACACTCTTTGCGTCCTGTCCTTGGATCTAACCAACGCCTTTATCCAATGTGCCATGTGTCCTCGAGGACATATGACACAGTGGATAGTGGTAAATATGGCGACAAAGATGATGACATGAGTCCAAATAATGTAAATAGTGTACATAATACCTCATCTCAGAAATATAGACAGATGCTGAAAGGCCGAAAAGTTATAATAAATATGGCAACAAAGATGAGGACAATAGTCCGAATAATGTAAATAAATGTACATAATACCTCATCTCAGAAATATAGGCAGATACTGAAAAGCCGAAACGTTGTAATAAATATGGCGAAAAAAATGAGGGCAATAGTCCGAATAATGTAAATATTCTTCTGTAGTTGGACAGTATAAAACGAAAAGATTTTGAAGAAATTTTCAAGCACGAATCGTGTAAAGTTAAAAAGGACCATTTTTCAAAATGACTGCTGTGAAAGAAGGTCTTTTTGTTTTTTTTTTTCTCGAGTTATTTGAACCTTTAATTTTTTACAGCCTTCTTGTGCTGTTTTCTTTCTTTTTTTTTGTCATTTACAAAATCCTTGTTTTATCCTTGTTGTAATTTTCCACTTTTCGTTGCCAATCCTTGAAATTGTTTTCCTGCTTTGGAAGCGCACAGAAAAACATTGTGCAAACCTGTCCCTTTTTTTTTTCGTAATTATATAAACTGTAAATAAATAAAAAAATTTCCTTTTCAAGTTTTGCGCAGTGGTGGTCTTGATTTAAAAGTTGGCGCCTCTTTTGGCTTGCTGTTTCTACCAACTGAGTTTTTGTCTGGCACAAGGATTTGGAGTTTTGAGGAAAATATTTTTTTATAATTTTGTAATGCTGTTGCAGAGGACCGGGTGTGTTTATGTATTGTTGTATTAGAAACACGTGTGTAACTTCTGGTAGAATATTAAAAGGTCCAACTACAAGAAAATGACGGACTTAATTTGTCAACCGAAGACAAAAGAAGACAAACAAGACCGATATATATATAAACAAATATATGTATTAATGAAAACAATTTTACAATGGACATAGACATTAACTTTTGTGTGTGTGTGAACATTAGTGTTTGTTCTTTGGTGAATGATTTACGTCTATGTGTGTATAATGTTCATGGCGTCTTCCCACAAGTGGGAAACGCTGTCTTTTGCGAGAGCTCACATTGTTCGCTTAAATGAAGAAATGAAAAAGAGAACGAGGCGAGAAGTTGCCCAGTATTTATAGTATAGGGAGAGAGACCCCTAGTGAACAATTAGGGAATTAAGGAGGAGGTAACTCCGACACTGTCATTATACTACAGTTCGTTAACAAATATTCCCGGTGAAACGACGAATTTCGCAACCTTAACTGTCATGACATAACTTTTAACATTCGGTAATTTCCGGAAACTCTTGTTATTGATTCTTTTCGGGGCCTACTCGACCCTCGTTATTCGTTAACTTACAGTCTACGGACGAGTCAAAGTTGACATTCGTGAGTATGTCGTTAGTTAAATTTATGGAAATTCTCATCTCACCTAATCAGCTGATTCATTCAGATTTCTTTTGACGGAGAAAATATTTCATTCGAGTCTCATGATTTTTATGATCTAAAACCATCAAAGAAACTGTCAGCACTAACAGGAAGTTGACAT